CAAGATTCCCAATCGGCGGTCCAGCCCCAGCGGTCAAGGGGTTCCCTATTATTAGAGGCGGGGACCCCATCCTCCACTCGACCGCGAGCCTCCTCCGCTTCTGCCGCAGACCAAGCATTGGTCTACGATCCCAATTCCCGTCGGATGATCAGACGTTCCGACCTCCTCGCCGTTGAACACGCCATCGTAGCAGCATCGCAGCAACCTACCCGATCCAAGAAGAAGAAACACCCTCCCAAGGCTGGGACACACCTCGCACAAGGCACCGTGGGTCGTACTAAGAGTAACATCCCAACAAGCGACCCGACTGGTAATACCGGTACCGCTACCACAACAAGGACAGCTCCACAGGTACAAGTACAAGCCCCTGTTCAACAGTCGCCACCTGTACAAGACTCTCGCCGGGAGACAGAGGAGCAGTTACCCTCGCGATTTGCTGTAGCTTCGCCAGCTACTGCACCTCGGCCGACTCAACAACCACAGGAAGAGGACTGGGAGTCTGAAGAAGAAGAAGAGGAAGAGGAAGAAGAGGGAGCCTTTACCGACCACCATCATCCAACAACGTCAACATCAATGGTCGTAACTACAGATGGTCGTCCGATGGTGAGGAGGCTGCCGTCCATTGTGAGGGAGGAGCCAGAGTTGGAAGAGTCAGAGTCTGATGAGACAAATACATCGAGGATCTCAAGCGCTCTCGACTCCATACCATCCCGACAGAGGATAGTCTCACATATCCGCTCGCAGTCAGAACAACAACCAATACAGTCATCTTCCCAAGCTAGTCAGCTACCAATTCGGGCAGCTTCGGTGTCTCAGAAGAAGAACCAACCTACTCGGGCCTCCTCAATAAGCCCGGCTCGCCAAGCACACTTTGGACCTGTTCAAGATACTCTAACTGTTAGGCATTCACCACCACCCCGATCAGTCTCCCCACGAAAGTCGGCCCTCAAACAACCAAGTCCCGTCCGCGGCCCTTCGCCTTCTGATCTCTCATCGGAGGCCTCATGGAGTACAGACCGGCCGGTGCAACGGAAGAAGTCCGTGCGGGTAAGCTTCGATGATGAGACTCAACCAGCCATCGCCGAGCTTGCCCCCAAAGAGCGATCGGTCTCACCACCTCTGGCTAGCCCTACCGGTATCCGCCGATGGGCAAACGCGGACTTGTCGGCGACACTCGACGATGAGGAGGCGACGATGAAGCCACGACCGGCGCTTCCCAGCTTTGGCAGCGTGAGGAATGTCAGGAAACCACAGTTACAGGAACCGAAAGAGGGCGAACGACCACTTCGACCGATAGGGGATGTTGCTTACGCCGCACCATACACCACGCCACTCCCCCTAAGCCCTGTAGCCGAAAGTTTTGGGCAAAGCAGTGACTATGCTATAGGTGGCATGCTACAGAGAGAGCGTGAGGAACGGGTACGAAGTCCAGCTAATATCTCGAGGTTTAGAGAACCCCTTCCACCGGTGGTTACATTGGTGGAGGGAAATGGATATGCCAGCGACGACAGTGATGGGTCGACCAGTCTTGCGTCCGAGATGACAGGCAGCTTATACGACTACCCGAGTTTCATGGAGCCGCCACAACAACCGCGTCGCAACTCGCTATCCTCGCCACAAACATCTCCCGTTAAGACGGCCTTTCAAAATAGAAATGCCCCTGCCATCGACTCGGGGTTTGTTGCTCAGGAGGAAGCTCGGCGGCGAAATAGTGCTCCGAATGTCCCAATTATCTCCTTGACACAGCCAACTCCCCAAGAGAGCCAGAACGAAGCACCCAACTTTTTTGTGGAGGTTCCCGGCGGGTTTCCCGAAGATTCGGATACGTCCAAGAGTTCGGCCACTGGTGTTGAACAAGCTATTGGACAACAGACGACAGGCACTCAATCGCAGCCGGCATCGGAAAGTGAATCGGATAACTCAAGTGTATACGCTGATGCCTATGAGGATCTTTCTGAGGCCGAAGGGGAGGGCTATCAGTCACTCAATGCTGTTTTGGACTTTCCTGGAGCCAACGACCCCCGCCAACATGAAGTCCATGACAACCCGTCGCCTCCCGATCCGCCCCGAAGTCTTGTACCTGCACTTTCAACTGCTACCACAGCCATTGGATCTTATTCTGGAGAGTCGCCCCAAGAGGACGACTGGGAGCGGGCCAAGGCTTATTGGAGGAGTCTTACAGCTGAGCGAAGAGCCCAACTGGAGCGGGAAGCCAAGGAGGATGCTGGAATCGAAGGCGACAGGGAAGAGACGAGCGTCCCGGGAGAAAAGCCCAGGAGGAAGAAGTCGATTGAGAAGAGGACTTTGGAAAGGCATGCTTTGGCCGTGCAGATGGCTCGGCAGATGATGCTCGAGCAGCAACAGCAACAGCAACAGCAGCAGCAGCAGCCGCAGCAGCCGCCTCAGGAGGAGCAGGTCCGGAAGAAAAAGGCCAAGGGGAAGGCAAAGGAAACGGCAGCCTCTGCACCTGCTCGCGTGACCGCCGAACGTAGCTATCAGATCAAGCCTGGGACGAAATGGGAGGAGTCTGAGGTTCCTGTAGTACCGGCGGTATCGACAATGACGATGCGAACTACTATGCGTAGTACGCCTCTTCAATCCAAGGCTGCCCCCGTGAAGGACGGACCTCGCTTCCGCAAATCCTTGCGCTCTGAACCTCCGGCCGACCGGCGAGCATCTTGCCCAGATCCTGCTCCGGTTCCTGCAACACCTCAGCCCACGAAACGAGAACATCGTGCAGCCTCTGATGCTATGCTTCCGGCTCCCCGAGCCTCTACCATTCGCCTAGCAAACACACACCAGTTACACATCAAGCGTCGTGACTCTACCAGTAGCGATAGCAGCTTCAAGCGCGCCCGCGCTAGTTCGGCAGGACAAGGCCTTTCTGCTGGCGGCTTTCCTAAATCTCTCCGTCCGAACTCTCCAACTGCTGGATCAGTGGACAGCCGCGGAAATGGCACTAAGCTTCTCACTTCTTTGCGAGCTACGACGCCTACCAATTCGAACTCTAGACTTGACACACCGCCTTCTAGTAGGGGGACAATGGGCTCGGCCATGGGCATGGGTGTGGGTATGCGTACCACGCTTCGTGACTCTGTAGCAAACAGCGGTGGGAGGAGAAGTCCTGGTGGCATGAAGATGCCTACACTGGGAAAGAAGGGAGGCGCCAGTGGAAAGAAGAGGACATCGATTGGAAGTAAGTTCTCCAGCAGGTTTGGGGATTCGAGCGATGAGGAAGATGCCGGGATTGCCAGCAGATTTAGAAGCCGGTTTGACGAGTCGAGTGACGAAGACGAGGTCGTGCCGCCGGTACCGGTGGTTTCGTCCGGATTGAGGGGTTCGGCTTCGGCGCCTGTGGCAGCGGCTTCTCGGAGTATGGCTCGGGGCAGTATGCGTGATAGACAGGTATCTATTGCTGAAGAGGAGGAAGGAGGGTATAATTACAGGGACGGGGCTTCTAATGGTGATGGTAATGCGCGTGGAAGCGTTGGATCCCTTGGCGGTCATCAGAAATTGTCGAAGACGGCAAGACTCGGTTCTGCAATCGCGCCAGCGCAAGCCGGCTACGACAACGACGCAGCAGCGGGAGACGAAGAACTCCGTCGAACCCGCTCTGGCCGTGGCCAGATTCTGCCTACGTCGCAGACAGCTTCTAATGTTGGAATTTCTGATGCCCCCGCCGCTGCCACCGAGCCGCACCGCCCCAAGCGTGGCCTGATGTCTGTTTTCTCGCGTAAGAAGCACCATCATCAACACGTTCAGGAAAGTGCCGACGCCATCGCTCGCCCCGAAGCACCAGTTGAGAGCGCCGTGAGGAGGGATACCAAGCTAGAGAGGAGCAAAGCTGAGTTGAAAGGGTTGAGAAACCAAGGCCAAGTCGATCAGGATCGGCAGGTCGATGTCGAGGAGAGGTTGCAAACTCCTGCTACCATCGACACCAACAATACCTCGGATGTAAGCCCCAAAAGCCACCATCCCCGCCTCCATAAGCGGGGCTCACGAATGCCCAGCTTTTCTCTTCCCGGCCGAAGCGAAAAGGCACCATCACCGGTACAAGAAATCATGAACGAAGGAGGCATTCCCATGCCGGGATTTATTAGGAGATCCGGCACCGCCACTGCCGCCGCCACGGGTGGAAGTCTTGGGACGAGGTCTATCAGCGGTGGATCTGGTCACCCGAATGGTCCATTTGCTGTCGGGGTAGGGCCAAGGAGGGCTAGTACCGCCACCGCGTTGTCCGCAGCAGGCACAGCGGGCAACGAGAGAATTCCACCTGTAAGGTCTGAGACTCCAACGGGCAAGAAAAAGAAGTTTGGCGCGCTGAGGAGGATGTTTGGACGATCGGATAACGGCAGTGGGTAGTGTTCTGCTGCTGGTCTGGTTCGTCGCAGTCCTTCCTCGCGGAGAGGGCAGAAGGTGAAGTTGAGGAAGAGGCAGTAGTAGCTGACGTTAGGAGTGGTTTGGATACGGGAAGTGGAAGGAAAAGAAGAGAAATAGGTGCTGTTTTTGGGTTCGAAACGATGTAATGGACTGACGTTTTGAAATTTTCTCCTTTCGGGTCCTATGTTTTAGTATTATACCACAGATATATCGTTTTCAGACGGTCAGGAAAGACACTCGGTGGCAGGGTCAAGAGAAAAGAACCAGTTAGGTATGGGTGGAGTTGGGAGGCACTTTACTATTTCATTTCTTGCTTTCATCACCATCGATCGGGTGTTGTGGCTAACCTCACCTCATTACTACACTACTACCGGCGCGGATGGCTTTATCTTTTCTATACCCCCTACAACACCATAGAACAAGCAAGCAACATTGGGAGGAGAGACGGGAAGTCGGTTACAGTCGTTTTTTAAAGCAAGGCCAAGCAAGCGAGCGAGTAGTTAGTTAATGTTTACTTTTTATTGAATCATTATTCTTTGACGGACCACATTTTACATCCTGCCTATGTGAGCGCGTTTTCCGTATTCATTCAATTTAACTTGTCACGACGTATGTATCATTTCAAGGGTTTTAAATGCGGTGCTCATTTCCAATTTGTAGGCATACCAACACATGTCCATTTTCCTATGAAAAATCATCATCTCCTCCTCTACCTCACCTTCTCTCAACCACAATACCAATCAATCAACCCTTCATTTCCTTGGTCTGCTTGGTCTCCTTCGACGTTTCAGCCATCACAAACTTTAAATCGTCCCTCTCCTCCTGCACCACCCTCCCCCACTCCACCAACACCCGAAACAAATAAACCTCCTCGTCCTCTCTCCTCACTGCCTTCTCCGCCCACTTCATCCCCTGCTCAGCAATGTACTTCGCCTCGTCCGTCCTACTCTTCTGTCGAACTTCTCGCCCATTAATCATGGCCCCCTTTGTGTTCCCCAGCCGATCGGACGCGGACGCCTTTCCCTTGAGGCCGACGAAGTAGGCCAAAGTGGCGTGCAGGGAGTGCAGTCGGATGTCGAGGGGGATGAAGTGCAGGTAGGGTTGGAGGCGGGAGGAGTACCAGTGGGTGAAGAGGGTGGAAGTGAAGGGGACATTGGTGCTTTTGAGGGCGGCGAGGAAGGTGGTAGTGGTGGACCCAGAGGGGGAAGGAGAGGAGGAAGGAGAGGAGGAAAAGGGCGGGTCGAGGGTGAGGATATATTGGTTGGATGATAGGGGGTTGGAATGAGGGGGGCGGGTGGTTGTTGTGAATTCTGATGATGAAGCTGCTGCGGTGGTGGGGCTAACGGAGGAGAAACCAATGTCGAACGGCAAAAGGAAGTTGAGCAACGAAGTGGATACGCGCTCGTAAGCGGCGCGGGAGCGGACTTCGTTTTGGGGGATGAGCATCAGCGTTGTCGAGGTACTCGAGTTATCTGAGACTAAATGGACCAGCCGTTCTTGTTGTCCGCCGTGCAGCATCTCATCCGAGACTTGCTCCGCTTGCGCCCCGCGCCAGTAGAGCGCCGGGGTTTTCAGATCAAAGTCGCTGGTGTCCGGCTGGGTGTTGGCCTTGTGGAGGACCTCGTCTAACGTGGGGATGGGGATGAGGATGTCGCTGTAGCTAGAGAGCTTGGACCGGCTGAAGACAGGGACTAGGTCGCGCAGCGGGGGCACGGAGGGTGGCGTGAAGAAGAAGCTGTGGAGGTGGAAGAGATCGGATTGGTGGCAGATGGACTGCGAAGCGGCGAAGTCGTGGAGGAAGATACCTGTCCCGGCGGAGTGCGGGCGCACGCAGGAGAGGCAGAAGTCCCGTACGTCCCAGTGAATGCCGGCGCGGGTGGCGGTGCCGGGAGGGCAGGTAAGGGCGGTCATCTCTTGAAAGGTGCGGACGGAGGTTGTGGCGGATGAGGAGAGGTCAAGGGGCTGGGATGGTGCTTTGCCTTCTTCTTCATCTTCACGCTTGGAGAGGAGCTTGCCGAAGCCCTTTTGCTTTGCCTTTTCGGTGAATCTCCTCACGTCCTCCCAGGGAGTGAGGACCCGTGGCCGTTCATCCAGGTTGATGGGGAGTTCCATGTCAGGGAGGTGTTGTGCAAACTTGTTGACCATTTTGGCCAGCTCGTCCATGACCATTGCGTGCTCGGAATCTTTGGATAAGCTGTGCGAAGCTGTGCCATTGGCGACTCTGAGCAGCGCGATGCCCGGTTCCTTGGCCACCCGCTGAATGTCCTCCTTGATTTTACTGGGCGAGATCCCCAAGAACGGCCGGATATCGTGGACCACCTGGTCGAAGTCGTCGATGATGGGTGACTTGTTATCCACGGCGAACTTGTACCACTCATCAAACTTGGGTGGCGGATCTCTCCCCCCGTAGCGAGCCTTGTACTCATTCACGGCAACCGGGAGAGAGTTACTGGCTACGGCATGAGTCAAGTATCTGTCGGCATTGGTTCGGGCCTTGAAGATCATTGTCTCGATAGGGTGTTCGAACAAGTAGTCGTTCCTGTTGTTGGAAACGGCAACAATCGTGGCGGCGATGAGTGAAATGAACATGAGTGCAACCAGGATGCTGCGGTGGATGAGTACCACTCTTTGTATGTTGTTGGCGTAAACAAAAATTGATGTACCCAAGCTTATGAGTAGTACGGCGAGGTATGCAACGCCGTGCATGGTGTTCTCAGCGCCTCCGGTGAGCTTCAGCTTGCCCCATCCAACAACGAGACCGGAGATGAAGGTGAAGATGCCAACAAGAGAAAGCGGTGTCTTCTCGGTAGTCAAAAGACTCGCAGAAACAAACAGAACAGCAACGGCAAAGCCATCGGTAACGACGTCGAAGACAAACAAAGCGTCAATGCCCTTGAAGTGATGGCTTAACGGCACTGAAGGCAGAAACATGCGGAGAGAAGTGTACAAAAGACCGCTGCCGACTGCCGAGGCCACAAACACCACACTCACAGAGATCAGACGGCTCTTGTTCGTCCTGGCCCAAGCGAGGACGCGCCATAGTAGGATCACGATGACACCGTCCAGCAAAAGACCGAGCCATTGAAGAGACCGGACAAGGGTGCTATTGTCGAAGCTGGTACAGATGTAACTCGACCTCATGTCCTGGGAAGAAGCGAGATAGGCCCCCAAGGAGATGAAAACGATGGAAATGGTAAGGGACTGTTTAGACTCGGCCACCCAGTCCCCAATATCATCCCATGTTGTTCGTCCCATGTCATCTTCCTCCTCGGCGTCCTTGGCCGGGCCTACACGGGCTCGTCGACCTGGCAAGAGCTCATAGAAGAGGATTACTAGAGGAAGAAAGGCCTCTACTCCAGGAGACGAACATTGCAAGTCCGCCGTCACTCGATGGAACAGTTCGAGTCTGAAAATGATGGCTGCTATGAGAACGGGGAGAAAGTATCGTCGTGGTCTTTTTGGTAGGCTGGTAGGAGCGGGTCTTAAGGAACCGCCTTCATCGTCTTCTCGACGTCAGTACGTTGTTGATGGGACCGGAAAGTAGGTGGTTGTCCACTTACCGAACCTCCCGTTGGAACCTGGCAGCCATTGCCAAAAGTGACTAGCAACATATGAGAAAGCTCCGGCTGTCAACAGGACTAATATGGATGAGACTCGCGGTTGTTCTGTTCTGCGTGTAAGTAGGTATCCGTTGTGTAACAGGTTGTGAATACTTTTTCCTTCCACGTACCAATCAGTTGGTGACTTTCTATACTATGACCAAGCCAAAGGAAGGAAGCTACGGCACTAGTTTAAACAAAGTTTCAGTCAGTATATGTTTGCTGTGGACGGGCATGCATGCATCTACATGCAACTTGTCGGCATCATCGACAGTTTCCACTCACCAAAACGCCGAGAGCTGTGACCCTCCAGTCGCCCCGGACGCCATGGAGCTCAAAGGGGTAAGTATGGTTGTTTTATAAGTTCAATGCAAAACGTATGTAACGAAAGGCTGGAGGTAAACAGTCTTCTACAATATGGACACTGGAGATGGGTATCTTCAAATGAGAATATAATGTCATTAACCCATGCTGTTTCCCCAGTGGAAACGAGCTGACTTGACGTTAATTGTATTGCATGAGAAAGAAGGAAAAGGAAAGGACCTCCATGACTAGTATAGCAAGCAGTCCGCCGCTGTCAGGATTCACGGACTGAATCTCAAGTCAGCCCCTGTTTCCATCACCAATAAGATCTCCGTTGGGTGGCTCCTGAAGCCTGGGATAAGCCTGGACTTCGGGGATAATGGCCCCCCCCCCTTTTTTTCTCTCCTGACATCTGCCTGCCGGGGCGACCGGTTGTTGTGATGGTTGCTGGAGGGAAGCCACTGTTAAGGGGTATCGAGCACTCCCGCATAGTCCATGCGACAAGAAAAGTAGCTGCTAACAACATCATCATCCCCGGGCTGCATCGGCTGCACCTCTGACGTTACCGCCACTCCCCTCCACCATCCGCCGCGGCTCCCCAAAGCTCCCGCGGTTACATTTCCAAGTGCAACCCGACACTTCCATCGAAGCTTTGTGGAATCCGACCCCTTCTTTCCTTTCGACAGTGTTGTGTTTTTTTTCTCTTTTCTTTTTTCTAATGGTGACACATTTTTAATTTCTCAACATTCGTTCAGACACACAGCATACCATACCTCTACGGTCTTGCTCTACTGACTAATCCCACGCGACACTTTCTACCACAATCACTGCCGAACCATCCACCGACCGAATCCCCGATATTCGCACAAAGACCTAAAAGTACCCCGAGTACCATGTCAAGATGACCAACCTTCAAACCGGTCCTACCACTCGCGGCCTCCAACGCTTCGCCATCCCCGCCGTCTGCGGCCTCATCATCTTCCTCGGCTACTACTCGCAATACCTCTTCAACACCAGTGCCGACCTCGCTCCCGGTCCGCTCACCCGCCGCGAATCCATAACCTTCAATATCCTCCTCGTCTGTCTCTGGCTCACCTACTACCAGGCCTGCACCGTCGATCCAGGCCAATACAAGTTCCCACCGAAAGAGAAAGAGGAGGATAACAATAACAAAAGAGGAGGAAGAGGACCGCAAAAGGCAAAATGGTGCAAAAAGTGCGACGCCCCCAAGCCTCCGCGCGCCCACCACTGCCGGCATTGTGCCCGCTGCATCCCGCGCATGGACCACCACTGTCCGTGGACAGGCAACTGCGTTTCGTTACAAACCTTCCCGCACTTTTTGCGCTTCCTAGTGTACACCAACGCTGCGCTGGTCTACTTTGCTCGTCTGCTCTGGACGAGGCTGTACTACGGCCTTTGGGACCAGCGACATGTTCCCGCTTACCTGGGCCCCAGCGTGGGAGCGCTGCTGGGCTGTACGATGCTGAGCATCGCCTGGTTTGCGACGCAGTTCGCGCTGATGGTTCTGTTGGTTACCACGGTGCGGAGCTGGATGCTGGGCAAGACGATGATTGAGGAGTGGGAGGCGGAGAGGCACGAGACGCTTTTGGCAAGGTCATATGATGGGGATGATTACTGGGGCGCGGATGGGCACGGTGGGTTTGTGCCCGTTAAGGTGGAGTTTCCGTACGATAATGGGTTTTGGTCGAACATGGCGCAGGCGATGGGGACGAACAACTTTTTGAGGTGGTTCTTGCCGGTCGGTGGCGGTGGGCCAAAGATTAGCAATGACACGCCTTGGAAGGGGACGGGGTGGGAGTACGAGGAGAATGGGTTTAATGATCGGGTGGGTATGTGGCCGCCGCCGGACCCGGAGAAGCTGCGCAGGGAAAGGGCGGGTGCTGGGGGGAAGTGGCCGGGTGCTAGAGAGAATCTGAGCACAGAAAAATCGGAAGTCGACTACTACCGCAGTTCCGAGGACATGAAGACTGCGTTTAAGAGGAGGCAGCAGGAGGACTTGAGGAGGAGACAGCAGAGGAGGCAGCACTCGTCTGAAGAGGACGAGATCATGGCTGAGTTGGAGGAGGATGAGGGGTACGAGGAGCGCTCACGGACCCGCTCACCACCACAAGACGGTAGGGCGTGGATGAATAGCGAGGGTGATACGCTGTGGGATTACGGTGTCGATGTGGACGAGGAGGAGAATTATGGATACCCGGGCCGAGGAGTCTCCGAGTCACTACCGCTCGTCAAGACAGCCACCGGATATAATGATGGTCAAGGAGATGAAGACGAGGACGTGCCCCTTGCTGAGCTAATACGCAGACGCAAAGTAAAAAGCAACGGAGTACATGAGTGAGGGCGGGAGCCAGAGCAAATATGCCATACTAGCTTTAATAACAGATACCCAATGCACATATTCTTTCTTGGACAGCCTTAGTTGACTTTGTTATGGGGAAACCTCGATCGTGATTATTCTTTTCGTGAGCCAACAAATGAATTATCCAACCCTCAAGTTAACGTCATGAGAAGGCACAACAGATGCCTCGCTCGACATCGGCATCAAAATCCCCAATGATCCACATGATGTCATGTCAAAGATGGGTTGAACTGCCAGAGACTTGGAGTTCAGCTCAACTTCAGTCGACAAGTTGACAAACAGGGGTTGGACCCCCACATAATGTGGGGTTGAAGGGGGCCGGGTATCATTGTCCCGAATCAAAGTTGTTGCCCGTCGCAGCCTGTGAAGAACAGCATCGTAGGGCAGCATAACCCCGAAACCGCCACTGAGGCCTGAGGGGTCTAACGGATTATGGGAAATAGCAATGTACATCTTGAGGGGTGACGACGTGTGTTTGGCTGTTTACTAATAATGATGATCAGGGACCACCTGGATCTCGTTGCTTTTTTGTGCTGTTTTGCTCGTTAGGTTGAAAAATCTGGGCTGTCCTAAACAAAACTCTTCATGACTCTGAGTAAAACTGATCTGATACTCTTTTCCTTGTCCATTCTTCTTGTAAGTATTTTCTTTGTCTTTTTTCTATGAAAATAAATATAATTCAACCTACGACACGATCGCGGAATTTGCAAAAATTGGGCCGGGAGGAACACGACAACTTGCCAAGTCTTGATATCTGAACCGCAATAGCCACTTCGTTTGTACGACTGTTGCAGACAGGAGAAGGCATTCTGCTGACTTGTGAGAAGTGAAAAAACATCGAGTGTTGTGAAAATCGAGAATTCCATCCCTAAAGGTGTCTTTTTCTCACTCAACAAACTTGAATAGAGAGGACTCTGTTTGCTCTCAGAACCCGCGGACAAATAACCAACTGGTTATTCACCTTCTGGACTTGGCAGCTCTGTTTGGTCGTCGTTGTTGGTCAACCCACTTTGAACTTCCTCGCCTTGGTCATCTTCCTCACCACTTTGCTTTTCGGGCCTCAAACCACTCAAACACTTAACTCAACACAACCCAACCCAACTCAAAGGAAGTAGATCAAAACCAGTCTACAAATTCCTACCTAAACACACCCACATAATCAACCCTCTCACAAATCAGCCAAGATGCTCAGCTGGTAAGCCCCCTCTTCCAATCCACCATCTCACCAACCCTCTCTAACACGAACAAAATAAAACAGGTACAAAGCCCAACTGGCCGCGCGCCCTCTCCTAACCCAAGCCGTCACAACCTCCATCCTCTTTGGCGTCGGCGACGTCGCCGCCCAGCAGCTCGTCGACCGTCGGGGGCTGTCCAACCACGACCTGACCCGCACCGGTCGAATGGTTTTGTACGGCGGCGCCGTCTTCGGGCCCGCCGCCACCACGTGGTTCCGCTTCCTGCAAAAGCGCGTGGTCGTGCCCGGCAGCACCAACAAGACCATCCTGGCGCGGGTGGCGGCCGACCAGGGACTGTTTGCGCCGACTTTTATCGGGATTTTCTTGGGTTCCATGGCGGTCCTGGAGGGGACGGATGTGAAGGAGAAGTTGCAAAAGAATTACTGGGAGGCGTTGAGCACCAATTGGATGGTGTGGCCGTTTGTGCAGATGGTCAACTTTAAGGTGGTGCCGTTGGATCATCGCGTGTTGTTTGTGAATGTGATTAGTATTGGGTGGAACTGTTATTTGAGTTGGCTGAATGGGCAGTGAGTGAGGTGGTGGACTGGGAGGAAGGAAGGAACAATGTCTTCTGTGGGCTCGCTGAGGGTAGACAAGAAATAGATTTGGTTGTTTGTTGGGTTCAGCGGAGAGAATTGCGAGGAGTTTCGGTTGGGAGTAGCAGCCTGGATACGAGACTGCTGGCTCAATGCGTGTCATAAACCAAAACTTCCTTTTAGCAATCATATTCCCCTCCCCGTCCCGCGACCCCAATCACTTCCTCACCTCCAACCTCCAGCGAAGTACATACGATCATAGGCACTTGGGAAAATTTTGTGATCCCGGTCGTGTTCGCCTAGATAACTCATTGGCCGCCAAAATAGTTGTAATAAGCTGGTGCTGTATGTCTTTTTGCTCATTATGAAAGTCGCCCCCTTCGAGTAAGAGAGGAAAGGCATGCTGTACTCTGAACAAAGGCAACATAATCATTCGATAATTGTGTCTAGCTCAGTTCCTCACTGAAGATGGTGTGCTCCTTAACCCCCATCATTTTCAACTGGATCTGAACACTCTCCAATACCCTCTTCTTGACATTAACGTCCTCAATGTCCTGGCCCAGGATCAGGCCATGGGTACTCTTGAAGTCATACTTCTTCAAGATCCCCCACATGCGCGCGATCTCATCCGCGCTGAGAGGGATCATGTTAGGGATGCTCCACATAAACGAGTACGAATTGGTATCCTTTGGTCGTGAACGAGGCTCCCCCAGCGCGTTCACCTCCCAGTTAGACAGACCGGAGGGAGTGGTGAAGATTGTATCTGCCGTGAGCAGACGGCCTGAGTGCGGGGTGTGAAGGACCACTTCAACTTGTTAGTTTTGTTACACACACATACAAATCCATCAATGATCTGAAAGAGTTAAAAGACTTACAACTACCAGGAAAGTGGCCCCCCAACTTGACAGCCACAACCCTCAGATCCTCTCCCTCTTTGTTCGTAATCCTCGTCTCCTCCTCGGTAATCTCCCTTTGGACACCATCCTCATCCAGCCTCGCCCTCCACTTCTTATCATCCGCCGCCAGGTAAACAGGACAATCACCAAAAGCCCTTGCCCACTCCAGATGCGTCGTGTAAAAGTGCGGATGGCTGATCACCATTGCATCGACGCCTCCCAGTTGCTTGATTTTCTGTACAGTCTCATCGTCCAAATAGGCGACGCAGTCCCATAGTACGTTCTTCCCCGAGGGGGTTCTGACGAGGATGGCGCGCTGGCCGATGCCAAACTTGGGGGTTGTTACGATGGAGATGAGTTCTGCTTGCTTTGACTCGTCTATCGTTGCCTCTTTTGGCTCCCCTGACCCTGCCTTTGCTGCCTTGAACTTCTCATATGGGCTTGAGTATTTGTATGGGTGAAACTCATTCTTGTACTTGGGAGATGTGGAGGAACGCAATGAGGAAAGGGTGGTGAAGGATTGCCCTGAGGGGGGAACGAATTGACGAGGGTCGTCGCAGATGAAGCAGGTCTTGAGGGAGGAGCGGTCGGTAAAGGGGTGTTGGGTGCCACAGGAGGTGCAGATGAGGTATTGTTCGGTCATGGTGGTGGTGGTGGTGGATGATGAGGTTGTTGTTGGTAGGACGGGTGTATCGCTATGCTGGAGTCAGGGAGTAGGACGAGAGAAGAAGTTGGGTTAAGTGGTGTATTCAAGGCCGGATGTCAACAATGATGCGGGGAAAGGCTTCTTTGGAGGTGAAGTAACAACGTTGGTTGTGTCTTGATTTGCAAGTCGAATCTTGGTCATGACATGGAAACAGAACATGGAACTGGAAGCTGGTGAGTCGAAGGGAAAAGAATGGTTCAACTATGGCAAGCAACTTGAGCAATATCGTCCTTTGCTATTTCTGAGTGTCTATTGACTCGATACCTTACTTAATCACCACATGGGGCTGTCCAAAGTAGCATGTATACGTTGAAGATGCCCATTGCCTCGTCGTTGAACTGAACCAAGACGGATGATGACGAATGGAGAGTATGGGGTTGTGAGGACTGTGGGGAGCCAGGGGTGTTAACAAATTGTGGGGTAAGTAAGCCAAGCACAGCACAAGCTTTCAATGTTCCATACGTACCAACCACTGTTTGCCGCTTCCAGATGGCTCAGCTCCGAGCTTTGAATTTGAAATTCGAACTTCGCGAATACTTTCCCCATCAAAGGAAAGGCATTGAGAAGTCACAACAAGCTTCACTTGCTTACCGCGCATCTTGCCACAACATGGAACAAGCATGATACCATGAAAACACCATCACGGTCATCACCACCATGGAACACCCAAGTGCCGCAGCCTCGACGCTGACAAGGCACCGGATCGGCGTCGCCCTCTTCTCCTGTGCTGCCGCCGCCTCCCTGGGCTACTTCTGCTACCGCATCTACAACCCGTCTCTCCCCGAACCTGATCCGTCTCGTCGAGTCCGCCGAAGCAATGCTGTCCGCCACCGCAGACGCTCTGCCCCCGACCTCGATCGTGACCGCGACCGCGACCGCGACCGCCGCCGCTCCGATGTTTCTCAAGACTCCGCTACCGCTCGTGCCTTAGAAGGCAACCCCGACACTTCCAACGCCAATGCCGAACCTGCCGATGCTCAGACTGTCGCCGACGACCAGGCCCTACAGGTTGCTGATGACGACTGGTGGAACGACAACGGCCCTGGAGACGGGTACGCCAATCACCGCGCCGGCCAGAATATCGTCAACCTGCTGTTTCGAGTTTCCGAGGACAATGCCAGACGGAGCTCCTACGTTCACCGTGGCTGTCAGTGCAACGCTTGTGGAATAGTGCCCATTCGTGGCATTCGATACCGCTGCGCCAACTGTGCCGACTTCGACCTCTGCGAGACTTGCGAATCCCAAGACCTTCACATCAAGACACACGTTTTCTACAAGATCAAGGTTCCCGCCCCTAGGTTGGGTCCCCGGCAGCTCCAGCCCGTATGGTATCCAGGAAATCCCGACAACTGCGTACGAGTTCTAAACAGGGCGGCTATCGCGAAACTGTCTCGGTCGACTGGCTTGGAGCGTCCCGAACTAGAAGCTTTGTGGGAACAATGGACATTCTTGGCAAATACCGAGTGGAAGGAGGACCCGGACGGTCTGAACCTGGCCATGGATCGCAAGACCTTTGAGCGCACTCTCGTTCCATCTGGTTCGAACCGACACAATGCCCCGAATCTACTGTACGACCGCATGTTCGCCTTCTACGACACCAACAACGATGATCTGATCGGCTTCTCCGAGTTTCTGCACGCCACCACCTACCGCAAAAGCAAGCACCGGCTTCTCAGCATCTTTAATGGCTACGATATTGACGGAGATGGTTATGTGGATCGCCGTGACTTTCTACGCTTGTTCCGCGCCTATTACGTGCTGTTTAAAGAGATGCACAAGGACATGCTGGAAGGCCTCGACGACCAGGTCATGAGCTCTAACGAAGTCAAGCAGCTGATTTCTAGTAGACATCCTGTGAGCAGCTTCTTTGGTCGGGAAGGTGCTATCCCTCGATCGGATAGTGATCGGCCCCTGTATGGAAAGGTTTTTACGAGCAACGGTGACGTGCGAATCATGGACGGACGCACCAGCGCTGTCAATGAGGACAAACCCGACACAGCTGATCGTGAGGCCGTGCTTGAGAGCATTTTTCAGCAGGAAAACCGTGATAGCGAATCCCTTTTCGCTGCTATCCTGGACGAATACAACAATCAGGAGGCGAACGGGATGCCCAGAGAGTCCCTGCGCTACTTTGCTGCCTTGCTGAACCCACCTGCCCGCGTCGAGGACCTACCTTCGTTGCTTACTGGTCGACGACGGGAAGGCGACGATCTGCTCTTTGTTACTAACCCCGACGAAGATCATGACGGGACGAGCGAGGAAGAGGATGGACACCGCGATCGTGCCAGAGCCCACCAGGACGACTCAGACCAAAACATCATACGTGGTGAGGGATTTGTCATGAGGATGAACGACGACGCCGATGCCCGATACCGTCGTTATGCCCGCGCCGAAAGAAACGTGCGGAAAAAGCTCATTGAACGCTACAAGAGACGACAGTTCTACTTGGATGAGGAAGAGGGTGCATTGCCCCCGGACTATTGGGACCCAGAAGAAGACATCTTGGCCAACCTGAATGGAGTGAGCGAGAGTTCCAAACCGGTTTCGCCACGCTCGCCCCCATCCCCCAAGGTCCGGTTTGCCGAGGACGTGGACGATTATGATACCCAATCTAACCCGTCTACATCCTCGCGAAGCATTCCTGAGCGGTGGGGAGGTATGGAGATCCCCGGTGCCGAAAAGGACGCCGGCAAAGAGGTCTTTTACCAGGTTGTCCAGCAAGCCTTCAATGAGCTCCTCGACAGGCTCTTCAAGTTCAAGGAGGACATAGCGATTCGGTGTGCCGAGACCAAGGCTGTCCGCGACAAGTACCGCCCATTGCTCGAGTCTATTGAAAAAGGCATGGTGCAACATGCCGACGGCAGCATGATTCAAAAGGCTGCCGAAGAAATGCTGTTCTTCCGTCCGTCAGAAGATATCAATGACCGGGACGGCGAGAAGCCCATCAGCGAGCAGAACCTACAGGAGCTACTGGCGGCTAGTGGCTATAGTATCGATGAGACCTCTCCAGCTGAAGCTGAGCCTACCGAAGAACCGCAACACGAAACCGGTATTCAAGAGCCCATCAACGGCGCTGAAACTGCCGAGGGGGTGCATCACAACGAACCGAGTGCTTCCACTTCCAGTTACTGCGATCCGACACTGCCTCAGTTCCGACCCAACTCCATGTCTGAAACCATGCCTCGTACCTCAGTCTGTGAAGAGACCCAAGACCACTCCTCATCTAAAGGAAAGGCCAACGAGGCAGATGCCGCCGCCATCCCTTCTGCACCCTCTAGCAAAACTACAGCAGAAGGCAACCACGACGCAAGCCAAGAACCGCAAGATCCTTCGAACATCCCAATTAATACTCTTGTCCAATGGCGATTCCTTGACCTAGCCGAAAAGGAGGCTAAAGAGCGTGGCGGCTGGGGTAGACTCAACTACGAAGAGTTTGAAACTGTCTGGAAGCTGGAAGAGGAACATGGTAACCGTCTCGACTACCTCGGCACATGGATTGACTTTTGCATTCCATATCACTAATGGTGTGATAAATCGATTGTTCACTTGGCGTCAATCTTTTTTTTTTCCGACCAGTTGTTGTTGGATGCTATTGAGGAGGAGTACCGC